ACACACACACACACAGAAACATGTGGAGAGACAGAAGACCCGCAACAACAAAACCCTGAAACCCAAACCCCTAAAAAACCCTAAACCTTAAACCCTAAACCCTAAACCCTAAACCTTAAGCCTTAAACCCTAATGACAACTGGTGGCCCGAACCCTTGCTAAACGTCCACCGGCTAGGTCCCCCACTCCACCTTCGGCAAGGTCTTGTGTACCTAAGGCCGCACCGTGGCCATTTAATTTTTTTGGGGGAGGGGGGGGGGGGNNGGTTTAGAGGTCTAGGGTTTAGGGGCTTCGGGTTTAGGGTTCAGGGCTTAGGGTTTAGGGTTGAGGGCTTAGGGTTTAGGGGTTTAGGGATTTTGGGCTTCGGGTTTAGGCTTCAGGTCTAAGGCTTTTAGGGTTGATATAGGGGCCTGAAGTATGAGAACTTAAGGTGTTCGGCATAAGATCGTGTACCGATGTATAACCACATAGGGACTCGACGGGCGTAACATGCCTCTTTATCTATACTTAGGCTTCGATATTGCCAGGACTCCCACAAAATCCTGTACTGGAAGCCTTATGCTTCTGAATAGTAGGTGTCGAGTTTAGGGCGTTTTGGGTTTAGGTTTAGACTTTGGGGGCGTGTAGGGTTTTCACATCACAGAAAGATCAACCCAGCCCATTTTCACGCACCCACCTACTCACATAATCCAGCTAAGTCACTCGCACACCTACCCGCCCACCCACACCCACCAACACCCAACCACCCAACCCAGCCACCTAACATACAAACATACAAAGTCCAAACATACCCGTCAGCCCTAAACCCTAAACCCTCAACCCTCAACCCTGAGCCCCAAACCCTCAACCCTACAAACCCTAAACCTTCGACTCTAAAATGTTGCACATGGGTAGTTGTCAAAATTATGGTCCCTTTTGGGGTACCCTAAATAATAGGTGCCGTATTATAATAAGGACCCGAAAAGGGACCATAAGTTTGACAATAAACCCTAAACCCTAAACCCTAAAAGCCCTAAACCAAAAACCCTAAAAGCCCTAAACCCTAAACCCTTTAAGCCCTAACCCCTAAATGTTACACATACCTTCGTGGTCGAACCTCTGGGCTGCGGGGCCTATTCGGGCTAAGGGTTTGGGATTTAGGGTTTAGGGTTTATTTAGGGTTTAGGGCTTTAGGCTTGGGGTTTAGGATTTAGTGGGTTTGGGGTTTAAGGTTCTTTTTAGGGGGGCCTTAGTGATAAGAACAGGGTTCGGGACATATTATGCTATAACAGGGTTTAGAGTTTCGGGCTTTGGGTTTTTCATTAGGAACCCTAAGATGGAGCTTTACCACTTAGTCAAGCCCCTATCTTATGCACAAGATGCCGGCTTCCACGGTGGTGCTGTCCGCCTAGGATGGGACCTAAACCCGAAACCCTAAACCCTATAAACCCTAAACCCCAAACCCGAAGTCGGCAGGGAGTGAAGTCGCAGCCCCATAAACAACTCCAAATCCTTCCCTAAGCCCCACCTGTGGCCCTACCGCTTGTAAAGAACTCTATATATATATATATATATATATATAGAAACCACAAAGTAACCCTAAACAGGCCCAATCCCTAAACCCTAAACCGGAACTAAGGAACCCTGAAAAGGTAGGTCTAAACCCATAAACCCCAAAGCCACAGAGCCCCAAATCCTAAACCTAAACCCTAAACCCTAAACCCCTAAACCCTAAACCCTAAACCCTAAACCCTAAACCCTAAACCCTAAACCCTAAAACCCTAAACCCTAAACCCCTGAATCCTGAACCCGAAGCTCCAAAAGCCTGGATCTCCCTCTTCCCTGCCTTTTAGGGCTTTTAGGGTTTAGGTTTTCGGGTTTAAGGTTTAGGGCTTTTCGGGTGTAGCTTCTAGGGTTCAGGGTTATGGTATAGGGTGTAGCTTTTAGGGTTTAGGGCTTTTAGGGTTTAGGGTTTAGGGTTTAAGGTTTAGGGTTTTTAGGGTGTAGCTTTTAGGGTTTAGGGTTTATGGTATAGCGCGTAGCTTTTAGGGTTTAGGGCTTAGGGCTTTTAGGGTTTAGGGTTTAGGATCCATGCACCCTACTCTCCGAAACTCCAAGGCAAAGCCGCGCTGCCAAGGAGTTTCTCAAGGCAGAGTGAGGAGTCGCTAACAGTGAACTCAGCGATCTCCCCCTGTTTCATCCTTGGGTCTTTTTCGGGTTCTAGGGGTTGAATGTAGGGGCCTTAATAATTAGAATAGGGTTTTGGGGTATATTATACTGTCAGTATAGTAATACTAAGTCTTTTCGGGCTCTAGGGGTTTAGGGTTCTGTGGAACACTGGGTTCTGAGATCTGTAGGTAGGGCCCTGGTGGATTCATCATCTTCGTTGGTTGGGCCACTACCGTGGGGAAGGAGCCATGGCTTCGAATTTCCGGTCTAACACCCTTTTGGCACACAAACATGTTGTTCGTCGTGACTTTTGTGGCTTCTGCCGAGAATGGCAAACGTCTTTACGCAGTTCCGATCATGCCTTCGACCCATCAAGTTGTACAGGAGCATAGGGAATGCATGATCAAACTCAAGATCTTACGCATGAAAGATACCAATCATGGCCTTCATCTTGTTGTGCCAAAGCTCTCGGGCACACAAGGTTGACGCAGGCTACAGTACTGACGCACTCTCACTTCGTCAGGTTCTTAGGGCTTTCTGGTTTTCAAACTTTTCAGGTTTTATGCTTCGGCTTTCCGGTTGGGGGGGGCTTAGGTCTTCCGCGTTGAAGGGTTTAAGGTCTAGGGCTTAGGGTTTTAGGTTTAGGTTTTAAAGCTAACAATCGGGCGTCGGGGGCCTATGATGAGGTCTCCTATTACGGCTGGAGCTTGGGTTTAGGGTTTAGGGTTTAGGGTTCTGGGTTTTGGGTTTTGGGGTTTAGGTTCAGGGTTCCGGGTTTTCAATTTCGGGTCGTTCGGGGCTATGGTCTAGCCTTTAAACTGGAACCTTATGATAGAACGCTATAGTACCCATAGAGAGCACCCTAGTATAGAACCCTATAGTACCCTTAAGGGGAACCCTATGATAAATCCATATCTATTTTTAGAGTACACTCTAGAAGTTGGAAGCCGAATTAAGGAGAAGTGGTGCTGGGATTCCCTAGACATTACTTTGAACTTTGAAGGACTGAGGCTATAGGGTTTCCAACTTTTGGGCTTCGACTGCAAGGGCTTGGGTTCCGAGCTTGGAGATACTGGGGTTCGGCTGTCGGCTTCTTTGGGATTTGGGGGGTTTGGGGTTTTGGGTTTGGGGTTTGGGGTTTGGGGTTTGGGGTTTATTGTTTAGGGTTTAGGATTCAGCGTTTAGGGCTTACGGTGTAGGGTTCAGCGTTTAGGGTTGCGGGTTTAGGTTTCAGCGTTTAGGGTTTAGGGTTCAGGGTGAGCTTGGCTTTGATGCCCTGTAGCATTGTACATTGTGTGCAAGGCTTTGCATAAACGGCTATTTTGAGGTATTCTTGAGGATTGATGGGGTTGTCCCCTGATCCGGTGCTGCAAAACGGGGCTGAGTGCTTAGAATAGTGCAATGGTGTGTATTTTGGTTTGATTGCAGGGACGAAAAGGCGCTGTTGCTACTACGTATTCACACTTTGTAACTTATTACTGCTGCACACCTGCAGCTTGGACGACGTTTTATTCGTTTAACTCCCGAACCCCGAACCCAAAGACACAAAACTATAAACCCTCGGAAGCCATTCACCCTAAACCCTAAACCCTAAACCAACCCTCCATCCTCTCACAGCAACACTGTCCCAGCAGCGAACACACTGCGCTCTCGAGGGCGTCGCACACCTTGCGAAGCTGTCCCCACAGTTCCTAAACCCCTAAGCCCTACATGTTTCTTCCTGGTTTCGGATCGACACCCCTCAACCTCTAAACACCACGTGATTAAAGCCCCACGCGTGGGCCCTCGCCTCCCTCTACATCTTAAGGCCCAAACTCCAATCAACTTGTAGAATTGAAAACGGGTCTTTGGACATATGACCCCACGGCGGCATAAACCCTAAACCCTAAGACCCTAAACCCTAAAGCCCTAAACCCTAAAAACCCAAAACCCTAAACCCCTAAACCCTAAAACCCTAAAACCCTAAAACCCTAAACCCTAAAACCCTAAAACCCTACTAAACCCTTTAAACCCTAAAAACTTAAACCCCTAAAACCCTAAACCCCTAAACCCTAAAACCCTAAAATCCTAAAACCCTAAAGCCCTAAACCCCACAACCAAAAACCCCTAAACCCCTAAACCCTAAACCCCTAAACCCTAAAACCCTAAACCCCCAAACCCTAAAACCATAAAGCCCTACACCCCTAAGCCCTAAAACCATAAAACCCTAAACCCCTAAGCCCTAAAACACCCTAAACCCCTAAACCCTAAAACCCTATAACCATAAAACCCTAAAGCCCTAAACCATAAAACCCTAAACCCTAAACCCAAAGCTCTGGAGCCCCAAAACCGAAGCTTTCCAGTCGTCATGCCTCTGGAACTGACTAGGATAATGCAGGGGCCTTAATTATTGGAATAGCTTTTTTTTTGGAGGAGGGGGGGTCCTTTTAAGGGTTCCAGAAAGGGATCTATACAGGCTACTTTAAGGGTTTAGGGTTTAGGGGCCTTAATGATTAGAATAGGGTTTGGGGGCTCTTCATGATATTTATGGTAAAATATACTCCCAAACCCTATTCTAATTATTAGATCTCGGAACAAGCACCAATATTCTTCCTTAGCGTTTAGGCTCGGTTTAGGGCTTTAGGCTTTAGGGTTGAGGATTCAGGGTTTAGGCTTGTCCTAGTATATTGGTCGCGTCTGCCCAAACTCCTACGGTTTTTGGTTTAGAGATCTTGAGCAACAAGGTTCAAGACCTGTCTCAAAACCTGAACCACTTGAAAGCTCCCTTCAAGACATGGGGGTTGTACTGTAGGGGCTCCCAAAGGCATGTATATAAAGGCGCCTAGTCTATAGGACCAGACGGGATGTTAAAAGCGTTCCAAAACTCCCTTCAAAAGACAGCATAAGCCCTAAACCCTAAACCCTAAACCCTAAACCCTAAACCCCAAAGCCATAAGCCCTAAGAGGCCTTGAAAGGCCTCCTGAACTTCCAAAGCCCCCCACCCCAAATTCCCGCAGCCCTCCATCCCCAAACCCCAGGGTTTAGGGTTTAGGGTTTAGGGTTTAGGGTTTAGGATTTAGGGTTTAGGGTTTAGGGTTGGCTAAGTTTTAACTGTATAATTTGGGTGGTTCTCTAAACTAGGGTCCCTTTTGGGGTCCTCTTTTGAAAGTGTACCGTACAAATTGGCGACTTAAAAACCGGGACCCTAATTTAGAGAGCTACCCTAAACCATAAACCCCAAACCCTAAACTCTAAACCCCAAAACCTAAACTCTAAACCGCAAGCCCCTGAACCCTAAACCCTAAACCCTAAACCCTAAACCCTAACCCTAAACCCTAAACCCCAAGCTCCTGAACCTCCATTGAGGGACCTGAACCTCCATTGAGGGACCGACCTCGCCGAGACCAACTCGGAAGCTGAGCGCTACGTCGGCACAGAGCTGCGCTCCCCTGGCATCCTTCCGGAAGCAAAGGTTTAGGGGTTTAGGGGTTTAGGGGTTTAGGGGTTTAGGGGTTTAGGGGTTTAGGGTTTAGGGTTTAGGGTTTAGGGATAGGGGCCTTAACAATTAGAATAGGGTTTTTGGGGGGTATACTGTACTGTAAATATAAATGAGGAACCCCGAAAATAGAGTTTTAGGGCTTTGGGGCTTGGGGTTTACAGCTTGGGGGCTATGTTGTTTCACGGTTTAGGTTTTCGGGGCTGTTAGGAGTTTCTAGGGCTTAGAGGCTTTAGGGTTTTAGGGTTTAGGGTTTAGGGTTTAGGGTTTAGGGTTTAGGGTTTACAGTAGGGCCTAGCGGTAGTCCGCCCAGGTCCTTGACAGTCACCGCTCTCATCGCGGCAAGACACCCGTCGTCAGCCAGTTGCCAAGAGGCCCAATCCTGAAGCAGACGGAGTGTTCGGTTTCGTTTTCAGGTTGAGGGGTTGGAGTTTAAGCCGGTTTTAGAAAAAACTGATAAAACACAACCTGGTTTCATCTTTTTCCTAGACTCATAGCCGACAGGTGCACCACTCTGGGCCAGTTGCTTGCAAATTCTCGCGGCCCGGTACCTCGGAAAAGCCAATCGCCTGCTGAAAGTCTTCAACACTCACCATTCAGAGCCCAAACCCTAAACCCTAAAGCCTAAACCCCTAAACCCCCAACCCCTAAACCCCTAAACCCCTAAACCCCCCATCTTGCAAAGGTTTCGGGGCAGAGCACGGCCTCCTTCATCATAGGCCTAGGGGTGAATAGACCCCAGAGCTCGAATGTGTCTAGGGTTTAGGGCTTAGGGTCTAGGCAGGAGCTTGGCACGAACCATGGCCGTGAATCTGTGGTACCTGTGCGCAATCCTGAGCACTTGGCGAACTCAGCGAGCCCAATACCCCTTAATTAAGGAATATACCTTAAATCATAATATCAGGCCCTTATAATTTAAGGTATATTCCTTAATTAGGGTGTATTGGGTTCTCTGGGTGAACGCATCCAAACAAAAACACAAAACGAACCTGCGCCTTTCCAGCCTGAATCCCTTAGACCCTCACCCTAAGTCCTACTGTTGATGATACAAATCCTGCATTACCTTAAAGGAACCTAAGGAAAGGAATTACGGTATATTCGCTAGATGTTATGGGTCATGCAGGATTTATATCATCAACCGTAGGACCATGAGTAGGGCCCCACAAAAGCACATGAGCAAATATTTGGATAGGGAGATCCAGCTCCCGAAAATGAAACACAATAAGGCAATAAGGTCGGGATATCCCTGTACGACGGTTTAGGGTTTAGGGTTTGGGGTTTCGGGACCCTAAACCCTAAACCCTGTTCCAACACTCCGGGATTCGTCCCGGCATCGGAGAGATCGCTTCCGGGCACTACCGTCCTTTCCCACGGCCCCACGGTTACGGGTTTAGGGGCAGAGTTATGCCGGGTATAGATGGCAAGGGATCCAGAATGAGGGCTCCACAAGGGATGTTACAGGGAGTGGAAGTAGTGTTTGGCATTTAGGATTTCGCGGCTACACCCTGAACCCTAAGCCTGGGGTCTAGGAAGCAAGGACTTCAGGTTAGGGGTGTTACAAAGTTAGGAAGCTGCAAGTCAAGCCAGGCGTGCCCTAAGTGGGGCAGTCCCGGTCATATAGGGTCTAGAATTTATGGCCTAGGGTTTAGGTCATGACCCTCTTTCTGAGCGACCTTGATCCGGACAGATAGATAGCTGTATAGATAAATACTTCTCTAGTTACAACAAAACCTAAACCCTAAACCCTAAACACTAAACCCTGACATGGAGGAGTACCATTGCTGCTACTCCACCTGCTTGGGAGTACCATTGCTGCTACTCCACCTGCTTGAAACCCTCGACCCGGAGCTCCCAAGGCAGACATAATTACCAATACTATTTTGGGGGGCTCCTTGTTAAAATTGTAGCATAGCGGGCCCCACAACCCTGTTCCCCTAAACCCTAAACTAAGTAAACCCTGTTCCCCAGAGAGGACCCAATACCCCTTAATTAAGGAATATACCTTAAATCAGAATATCAAGGCCTCTATAATTAAGGTCTATTCCTTAATTAAGGTGTATTGGGTTCTATGGGCCCCGAAGCCGTATTGCCACACATTGGATCTCCCTTGGGCCTCAACCACGGAAACCTTACAGTTCTGATCCCTCCAAACGATCGAACCCACCAAAAAAAAACTAAACCACCACTCAAACACCTGAGACGGCATGGACCCCAAAAGAAATAAACACATAATGGAAACATATGTATATATATATATTTATTTATTTATTTTTTTAT